TTAATTTAAAATATCATAAATATTAAAAAAAATTAATAATGAAATCCAGATTTATTTATAATTTTTTTAAATTTGAATACAATTAAATATAAAATCTATTATAATTAATAACTATAAAATTATATAATTTATAAATATAAAATATATTTTTTGTCAAAAGATCTAATTTTAATATACATTATTATAAATATATATTAAAAACATACATTATTAAAAATATATTATAAAAATAATATTTTAAAATTATAAAAAGTTATTAGTTTCTCATGGATTAATATTTTTCGTTTAATATTATTTTATCATTGTGTTTGCAATGCGTATTAAAATGATTAATATTTATGCTAGTTTGATATGAGTGTTAATGAAGAGAAATGCAAATTTCCGTAAAATTAAAATTATTAAAATATGGGCCCTTTAATGCACGCCAATATATACCATCCCTGGCCCATAAGTACTCAATTAATAAAAATGGCGGAATGGAACTGTTTCACTAAATTCATCATTATATTTTAAATAATGGATAATATATCATACTACTATTTAAAAAAAATTTATATTATTATTATTTTAAAAATATTATAGATTTATATTTTATACAAATAATATATTGAAAGAATGTTTAATAAGTACATGGCCATTTCGTATTTTTGTGTCTGTCACTATTTACAAAACTTTAAATTTTAATTCATGTCAAAAAATATTGTTTGTTTATAAAATTAAATATAAGTACACAACACGAATAATTATAACTAATTGAAATGTCAGAATACATTAAATTAATTATGATTTTTCTACATAATCTATACAAGATTTATGTAGAAAAAGGCGGGCTTCTAAGTAAGCTCCTCTATTGAACGAATACTGCCAAACATAGGCCCCGATGTATCCTAACGAAATTCAACGATTTTACACGAAGTCAACCAATATGGCGTCAGTTTACCATTGAGAAATTATTTTTTAATATAAAATAAAAATAAAATTTAATAAATTTCATAATAAAAATATATATTTAACAAGTATAATTATAGTAACTTTTGTTATTTTTGCATTTCAAATGAAACAAAATATTTAAAAAATTTATATTTTCAATATCCCCTCTCTTTTTTTACTAATGTACTACTTAATAATAGTTAATGCTATTGCAAAAATTTATAAAAATTTTATCATATTTACTATATTAATATAGATTTTAAGATTTATATGTTCGAATATTTTTATATATTTATCATATTTTTTAATATAATATATTAAAAAAAATACTAATATTAAATATTTGTTTATAAAAATACTATATATAAATATTACTTTATAATATTTAAATATTTTTACATTGAACATTTGAAATAATTCTACTCTTGTTTTTTTAGTTCTTATTGACAAGATCAACATGCGTCATACTGGTAATATAATATTGAATTCATTGAGTGGGAGAAATGTTATGCTTTCATAACTCATTAGGAATATCGATTTTATATAGATTTCTGTATATAGATTCAATACTTGTATTTTCGAAATTTTAATTATTTATAAATTATTATTAAAAATGTTACAAATATATTATAGATATATTTTTAATCAAAATTTAATTATTCATCTCACAGAAATTATAAAAAATAATATTTGTAATACAAGTAATATTACTATACCCAAATGTACTATATAAATCTATAATTCAAGTACAACATATAATTTGTGTATATATATATATATATATATACAATTATATTATAAATATTTGCTAATAATATAATTATTATTAATATTATAAAATATAAAAATTAATAAAAAATTGTGATACAAATAAAATTTTATTTTTATAATATCATAATTTTTTATGATATAAATATTTTAGTTCATTTTTATAGTAAAAATAACAATCTAATTTTATAACTTAAATATTATATAATTAAATATAAAAATATTAAGTTTTCATTTTGTATGACGAAACAACAAAATGGCGTACCTATGCTCTATAAAATGGCAGCTATTCATATATAGTTTGACATCTACAATAGATTCGATCTTTATGTTTGGGACTTCAGGCCCAAATTCTTCAGTAATATAAATAGCATAAAATATACTTTTATTATTTATTAATGTATAAATATTTATTAATATATAAATTAAATATAAGAAAACAACAACAGAAATCCTTAAAGTCTATAAAATTAAAATTAAAATAACGAAGAATTTATTTCTTTTTCAAAACGTTTAACTATAACTATTTTTTAAAATATAATTTTTTGTAATTTTAAATAAATATATATTATATGTATATATGATTCAGGTCATATAACAATTCAGATCAAAAAATCAGAATGACCCACTGCTGAATGATAACATATAAATATGTGTGTAAATGAACTTACGTTATGTTATAATGCAGACAATCTTCAATCAGTGATGAACATGCTCTTTGTTTTACAAAAATACTTCATATTTATGATAAATGCCAGAAACGAAGATACACTGTGATACTCGTTCATCGAGTATCTGCAACACCGCAACCTAAACAAGCGACAGGCAATGTTGCCACTTTTATACGTAACCGCTAACATACTCAATATATTTTGATGAAATTAAGGTTTAAATTGAATACGTCAGACTTTCCAATTGTTTAAATTTGAAAGATTTATCGAATTAAAAAGTTACAAACAAATTTGTGAAAAGAAATATGTAGAACTATCGACATATACAGATAATGTAGTTTGCATCTCAATTTAGTAACGCATGCGCCATAGTATAAAATACTTTCAGAACTTATATGATGTTTACTAAAGCATGTAAAATACTTCTGATTAGATACCAAAATACACTTTGTTTATAAAAATTTATGCAGGTATGCAAAATCAATAATAATCAAGTATTCGTGATATGTTTTTTCAACATTTGAAAACTTTTTTTTCGAAAATTATTTGATATTACTTTAAAGAATAAATAATAACCATAGTATTTTACATTATTTTGTAAAAAATATTATTAATAATATAAAGTTTATTGATTATTACTGAAATATGGATGAAGGAAAAGTATATTTTATGTAATATTTTTTAAAAAATTGTTAATAAAGTATGTATTTAGTGATTAATTCAAACCAAGGTTATCATTAAAAATATCGTATTATGAAAATACGAATAAAAAATATTGCTAACCACAATATGTATAATTAAAATTATTTGTATTTAGAAAAAAAATATATTATTTATTATTTTTGTAATTTAAATTTAAAAATTATAAGAAGACTTTATTATATATTAATATATATAAATCGAAAATAAAAA